TAAAAGAATGCGACAAGAAATGCCACAAAATTGAACTGGGGCTAGAAGGCTTCTGGCCAGCTGAGAAAGCATGTGAGCTGAGGCCACAGGAGAGGGAAAACCAGGAGAGTGCAAAGCTGGCGGAAGGAAAGAAAGGCTCTAGCATACGGAGGGATGCAGGGTCCCATGGGGGCAAGTTCTAGGGACAACCGCTGCTGAGGCCCTCAGAGCTGCCAGGAACCACTATCCAATGCTAGGCTCTTGGAGCTCACCCTCCAGTTCAAATTCCTGGAATTCTGTGCAATTCCTATCATACCACATGTTCTCCCACTGCCAAAACTCCTTCTCTAGCTGGCTGGAGTGGGTCTTTGCTCCATACAACCCAAAGCCAAAGCAACACACACAACATGCAAATAGGAAACAGCCTTTCTGATAAGTCAATAACATAAAACACAGAACTTTTTAAGGAAACGCTTACACTCACACCTGCAAAGAAAAGTCTCACACGTGACAGAGAAGGCTGCACAAGGGAACCCTCTGAGGTAATGGGTGCAAATATTCTGTATCTTCAAAGAGGTGTGACTGACTCTTGTGTTAAAACTGATTAAACTGTACACCTAATGTGACATTTCAGTGTATGCAGATTATACCTCAATCAAAAAAACCCAAAGACTAAAAGCACCTCCCTTAATCTAAATTGTTCCCTGGAGAAGACTTGCATTTTTGTTTTTCAAAACTGTATTGATCTAGATAAATCTCAGAAACAAAATGCTGAGCAGAGGCAGCCAGATGCAAAAACACCTGAGTTTTTATTTATACAAAGAACAGAAACAGGTAACAGTCACCTAACGGGGGCTGGCCAGTTGCTTGGTTGGTTAGTGCGTGGTTCTCATACACTAAGGTCCAGGGTTCCATCCCTATACTGGCCAGCTGCAAAAAAAAAAAAAAAAAAAAAAAAAAAAAGAAAAGTCACCTATGATGTTATAAGCCAAGATGGTGGCTAACTTTGAGAGGGTTGCAGAGTGGGGACCAAAAGGAGCCGAGCGAGACTTCTTACTGGGCCACTTACGTTCTGGTTCCTGAGCTTGGTGCCAGTAACACAGGTGTGTTCAGTTTGACATATGTTCATTACGGTGTATGTTCATGATAGATGCATTTTCTTGCACATACAGAATTTTCCTGTTTGTATACCTTAATAATAACATAAAAAAGAAAGAAAGAGAAGGAATACTCTATAGTTATTTAAAAGTGAATGGAAGTGTGGTGCTGATAACGCCAAGGCCATGGGTTCAGATCCCTACATAGGGATGGCTGGTTAGCTCACTTGGGAGAGTGTGGTGCTGAGAAAACCAAGTCAAGGGTTAAGATCCCCTTACCGGTCACCTTTAAAAAAAAAAAAAAGGTGAATGGAAAAGATTTGTTTTGTTTCACATGTAGTGAAATGCTTATTTTCCTTGAAGCCAAACTCTTCAGGTAAATAACAAATTATTAAGACTTTATTTACCCCCTTCGTGGAATTCTAATTTGACTCTTGGATTTGATATTGGGGGAAAAACTCATTCAATGGAGTAATTTGAATAAATAACGGAAGCAAAACTCCATCCTATAGTGCTTAGTTCTAAGACTACCTAAAGTGAATTCACCCATAACCAGAGCACTCTTCCAAAGCAGTAGCAGAAGGAAGAAACCACACTCCACATCCCTTTCCTACTTAAAGAAAAAAAGAGCAAAATCCACAGGAAGAAGTATTTAGTCAGAATCCCACTTCTGAGTTTTCAAAGGGAGAATTAACTCAAATTCACACATTACCCTGATGTGCATTTTTTAAAAACATGCAGATTTTGATTTTCAGAGGCTTGTATTTTAAAATCATTTTACAGACTCTAGATACAGTTCATAAGGATAAAAACAGAATATGTAAAAGTGAAGCAATATAGACAAGCAATAAACACCAAGTGTACAGGTCATCGAATTCTAATATTTAAAAATAAGAAGCCAGGGCCGGCCCGTGGCTCACTCGGGAGAGTGCGGTGCTGATAACACCAAGGCCATGGGTTCGGATCCCATATAGGGATGGCCGGTCAGCTCACTGGGTGAGCGTGGTGCTGACAACACCAAGTCAAGGGTTAAGATCCCCTTACCGGTCATCTTTAAAAAAAAAATAAGAAGCCAAATAGTAAAGTGAAATGTCAAGTACTTACAGCCATAACTAATTCAAAGTGGTGGATACACACACCCTCACTGGTGACTGGTATTTTTCCACCATGATTGTAGTACAACAGCAATCCTCTCACTCCTGCAAAACATAAACATATGTGATAAATAACCATGATACAGAAAAAAATTAGATATGCACTGACACATCATATTCCATTCCAAAGGTAGAAAGGGACCACAATAGGTCATAACTCTATACACACAAAAATCAAAAGTTGATACTTAATTATACAAGGTAGGGGGAGATAATAAGAAAAGGCAAACAAAGCCCCAGTGGAATGAGGTAAACAGCACTGGTCTGAGGATGGAGGACTCCATTCCCCTTAACAGCATCGCTGGGCCCCCGCATTGGGTTAGACGATCTGACTCATTTCCAACAATGAAAAGTTGGGTTTCAATTATTCTAATAACCGGTAGAATGAGTGCTTGAATCATTTTCTCCTGAACAACTTCTAGCAGCAGCCAAATGAAATGGTAACATGTTAAGATATTAGCTCTGGGGAAACACGAAAATAAAAGTGGAAAAAAATAATATTTTATCTCAAATTATGGAATACTCCTCGAAAGCCAGCTTCAAAGGAAACTTTTGTCAANCTCTCAAGAATGTGACCTACGAAATGTGACAAGAATTGGTCAGTTAGAAACTAAAAGAATGAGACAAGAAATGCCACAAAATTGAACTGGGGCTAGAAGGGTTCTGGCCAGCTGAGAAAGCATGTGAGCTGAGGCCACAAGAGAAGGAAAACCAGAAGAGTGCAAAGCTGGCGGAAGGAAAGAAAGGCTATAGCATACAGAGGGATGCAGGGTCCCATGGGGGCAAGTTCTAGGGACAACCGCTGCCGAGGCCCTCAGAGCTGCCAGGAACCACTATCCAACGCTAGGCTCTTGGAGCTCACCCTCCAGTTCAAATTCCTGGAATTCTGTGCAATTCCTATCATACCACATGTTCTCCCACTGCCAAAACTCCTTCTCTAGCTGGCTGGAGTGGGTCTTTGCTCCATACAACCAAAAGCCAAAGCAGCACACACAACATGCAAATAGGAAAGAGCCTTTCTGATAAGTCAATAACATGAAAAACAGAACTTTTTAAGGAAACGCTCACACACCTGCAAACAAAAGTCTCACACGTGACAGAGAAGGGGGCACAAGGGAACCCTCTGAGGTAATGGGTGCAAATATTCTGTGTCTTCACAGAGGTGTGACTGACTCTTGTGTTAAAACTGATTACTGTACACCTAATGTGACATTTCACTGTATGCAAATTATACCTCAATCAAAAAAACCCAAAGAACAAAAGCACCTCCCCTAATCTAAATTGTTCCCTGAAGAGGACTTGCGTTTTTGTTTTTCAAAACTGTATTAATCTAAGAGCCGGCCCGTGTCTCACTCGGGAGAGTGTGGTGCTGATAACACCAAGGCCATGGGTTTGGATCCTATATAGGGATGGTCGGTTAGCTCACTGGCTGAGCGTGGTGCTAACAACATCAAGTCAAGGGTTGAGATCCCTTTACTGGTCATCTTTAAAAAAAAAAAAAAAAAAACTGTATTGATCTAGATAAATCTCACAAACAAAATGCTGAGCAGAGGCAGCCAGATGCAAAAACACCTGAGTTTTTATTTATACAAAGAACAGAAACAGGTAACAGTCACCTAACGGGGGCTGGCCAGTTGCTCAGTTGGTTAGTGCGTGGTGCTCATACACTAAGGTCCAGGGTTCCATCCCTATACTGGCCAGCTGCAAAAAAAAAAAAAAAAAAAAGAAAAGTCACCTATGATGTTAGAAGCCAAGATGGTGGCTAACTTTGAGAGGGTTGCAGAGTGGGGACCAAAAGGAGCCGAGCGAGACTTCTTACTGGGCCACCTACACTCTGGTTCCTGAGTTTGGTGCCAGTAACACAGGTGTGTTCAGTTTGACATATGTTCATTAGGGTGTATGTTCAAGATACATGCATTTTCTGAAGCAATACAGACAAAAAATAAACACTAAGTTTACAGATCATCAAATTCTAATATTTAAAAATAAGAAGCCAAATAGTAAATTGAAATGTCAAGTACTTACAGCCATAACTGATTCAAAGGGGTGGATACACACACCCTCACTGGTGACTGGTATTTTTGCACCATGATTGTAGTACAACAGCAATCCTCTCACTCCTGCAAAACATAAACATATGTGATAAATAACCATGATACAGAAAAAAATTAGATCTGCACTGACACATCATATTCCATTCCAAAGGTAGAAAGGGACCACAATAGGTCATAACTCTATGCACGCAGAAATCAAAAGTTGATAATTATATAAGGTAGCGGGAAATAATAAGAAAAGGCAAAGAAAGCCCCATTGGAATGAGGTAAACAGCACTGGTCTGAGGATGGAGGACTCCATTCCCCTTATCAGCATCACTGGGCCCCCACATTGGGTTAGATGATCTGAGTCATTTAGTTAGGTTTCAATTATTCTAATAACCGATAGAATGAGTGCTTGAATCATTTTCTCCTGAACAACTTCGAGCAGCAGCCAAATGAAATGGTAACATGTTAAGATATTAGCTCTGGGGAAACACGAAAATAAAAGTGAAAAAAATACCATTTTATCTCAAATTATGGAATACTCCTCAAAAGCCAGCTTCAAAGGAAACTTTTGTCAATTCCTTTCTCCTGTGTCCACTACAATTTCAGGGACCTGTCTTCAAAATGACAGAGATGCCAAGTACTCTGGCTAAAGAGGCTCCACTGGAATCTCCAGCCTCAAATAGCTGTGATATCTGCAAGTAATCAATGCTCAAGCCTAATACACATGTCAAAGAACCCTCCTGCCAGGTACATACTCTCGTCACATTCCAGGTCGCACTCGAGTGTCAGTGTACGTAGATTTTTCTGAAAACACACTTGTATTCAGAATCCTCTGACTCTTTACTTCCCTACTTAAAAGGAAGAAAAATAAATGCAATATGCCTACCTATCCTG